GGTACACTGGTACAGATAGGAACTGTAAATACAGGGAATCCAGGGCGGATGATCCCTACAGGACTAGTGGTGTGAGTGGCGATACTGGGAGTGTAGAGGGAGAATAGGTTGGAAAGAGGGAACCAATTACAAGGAGCTATATGTGACCGCCTCCCTGGGGGACGGACAACAGAAAAGTGGGTGAAGGGAGACGTTGGACAGGGCAAGGTATGACAAAATAATAATTTATAAATTATCAAGGGCTCATGAGGGACGGGGGAGCAGGGAGGGAGGGGAAAAATGAGGACCTAATGCTGAGGGCTTAAGTGGAGAGGAAATGTTCTGAGAATTATGAGGGCAATGAATGTACAAATGCGCTTTACACAATTTATGTATGTATGGATTGTGATAAGAGTTGTATGAGCCCTTAATAAAATGATTAAATTTTTTTTTTCACTTTTATGAAATACTTTTATCTCACTAAAAATAAAGTTTTTATATGTGTATCTTATGTAATATGTCTAACATACAAAATGTGAGTTAATCACTGGTGCTATTGGTAAGGCTTCTAGTCAGTAGTAGAGTATTAATAGTTAAGTTTTGAGGAAGCCAAAATTTGAATTTTGATGCTGCAGGGAGCCGGCACTTGTAACCCTTTTGTTCAAGTGTCAACTCCAGTACCTATTTCATGATATGTGAGGATAGAATAATTAAAATGTAAAGTGCTTGGACAAGTGCCTAGCACATAGAAAGCATTCAATCTATGCTAGCTATTACTGTTGAAAGTTTTTTTTCTCTACACTATCTTAGAGGTTAATGGTTTGAGTACAACAGCAGTGTTGTGGAAGAAAGACCTGTATTTACGCTTCCATAAAGATTACAGCTACAAAAGCCTTATGAGAAGTTCTCCTCTGTATACATAGGGCTGCCATGAGTTACTGCAATGGTTTTTTGTTGTTGTTATTTTGGTTTTATGTGCTTTTTAAAATATGCCCACAACTCTATCCTCCCTCCCTCCCTTCCTTCCTGGTTCTCCTTCTCTAGTGAACCCTAACATACAAAGTGTGTTCTCCAACCATAAGAGAATCAATCACGTAATCAGTACCATAAAGGTAGCAAGAAAGTCTTTTAAAACAAAATAACACACTTGTAAATGATGCATGAGCTAAAAAGACAATTTCAAGGAAAGTAAAAAAATACATAGACTTAAATGAAAATGTAACATATCAAAATGTTTGGGACATAGCTAAAACTGTGCTAAAAGGGAAATTTATAGCAGTAAATATATACGTGAGAAAGAAGAAACATTTCAAATCAAGAGCTATGTCAGAAAAAGAACAAAAATCTAAAACAAAGAACTAGTGATCACTGAAATTAAAAGTAAAAACAATAGAATAATCAATGAAACAAAGGGTAGATTCACTGATAAGGGCCATAAGATTGACAGACAGCAAAACTGACAAAATAAAACAGCTGTCACTACAGACCTTACCACATCCGAAGGGTAATGAAAATTTATTTGAATAATGCTACACACATACATTTGACAACTTAGGTGAAAGGGATCAATTTCTTGAAAGGCACATACTACCACAACTCACCCAACATGAATTACATAATTTGAATTGTCATAACTGCTAACGAGAGGTGCTTTGGGGGCTTAATGGTTATGTGCTTGATTAGCAGTTGGAACCTAGCCGGTGGTGCTGTGGAAGAAACTTAGCCATTTGTTCTTAGTAAGACTAGAAAAACAAAAACACTACCATAGAACTGGTTTTGAATCAGTGTGACCCAGAGGAGAAAGTTCAACTGCCCTGTGGATTGCCAATGCTGTAATCATCTTTCTCCTTTGGGAGTGGTTGGTGATCTCAAACTGCTGGCCCAACACATCTCATGCTACCACCAGGACTCCTTATAGCCTATGGGACAGGTTTGTTCTCACCTGGGGTTGCTATGAGTTAATAGCACCTAACAACAATAACGTAACTACCAAGGAAATTGAATTCATAATTTTAAAACTAACAAAGTTATTTCAATGGAGAGTTCTGACGGGCGTTTAAAGAAAATTTAAGAACAAGTCTACATAATCTCTTTCAGAAAATAGAAAAAGAGAAATGTTACCACTGGGGGAAACTGGGTAGAGGGTACCTCAAATCTCTCTCAGAAGTACATGTGAACCTACACTTATCTGAGATAGTTTAGTCAGCCTGAGAAAAAAGACACCTTTAAAAACAGAACAAAAATCAAAGATAAGAATGACAACAGACTTGTTGGAAATACTAGAAACCAGAGACTGATGAACAGTGTTTTTAAATACCTAAAGAAAACCACAGGCTGTCCTGTTCCAGAGCCTGTATGCTTTCAAGGTCAGAAAAGCCATCAAAACAACTCAGACAATTTGGTATATTACCTTTTGTGTGCTCCCCTCATAAATCAACTGTTAATCCTAATCCTGGATCAGTTTATATTCCATCCTAATCCTGGATCAGTTTATATTCCATATGCTTTAATTCAACATTTCTTGGAAAAAGAAAATTAACACATCATCTTTTTTGTCATACAAAGCAGACTTGGCTAAATGCCATAAAAGAGAACTTGAAACAAAGCCACTTAGAAGTGTAGAGGGAGAATGGTGAGTGTAACAAGTTGAAGACATCAGGGAACTTGACATGTGAATCTGGTAGCCAGTGAAGGCAGAGGGAACAGCTGAGAGTGTGTTCAGGGTCTGTGCCCGGATGCCTGGGACTAGAGCAATTCAATGCAGACAACTCGAGAGAAGAGATTTTATGTTTGTTTTCTTCTCCCTTTGCTAGATTCCCTACTATCCCTCCACTGCCTAGAACAGTGCTGGGATTGAATATTGAATATTGCGTGAGTACATAAATGAATAGTGAAATTCAGAGAATTTCACTAGTTTTAATAAGGAGCCCTGGTGTAGGAGTTACAGACCTGGGATCAGTCTTGACACTATTTTAACTAGCTGCCATCCGATCTCACAACTTCCAACTATCATTCCTGCTATCACACAGATTCCTTTCAGAACCACTGGTGACAGCTTTTAGTTATTGAGTCGGATCTGATTCATAGTGATTCCACGGACAACACAACAAAACACTGCTTTGTCCTTTGCCATCCTCAGAATTATCACTATGTTTGAGCACATTGCCCCAGGCACTGTGTTGTCATTCCATCTCCGTGAGAGGCTTCTCTTTTTTGCTGCCCCACCAGATAGGAATGATCAATGTTTTCATCAAAAAACATTGTGATCTGTAAGTAAAATGGATGTAAAAGAAAAATATTGCTATTAAATGTGATTTTGCATGGAAAGCTCAGCCTTTCATCTATAGTTAAGTACTCAATAAAGGGCTTTCTTCTCTGGACCCAAGTTACACAGTGTACCTCTAATATAACATCACTGCACCTCATGAGAAATCTCAATGGGATCTAGCAGTGCTCCAGCCCAAGCCCTTCATTTTAACTGAGGCTAGAGTAGAAAAGTAACTTGTATAAGTTCACCCAGTTAAATGAAGGCAAAAGAATATGAGAGAAAACAATCAACCAATCACACGAACAAGCATACGAGTCAGGGACCACACCATGCTAACGTAAAGGGATGGGAAGAGATATTAGAGAAACACGAATTAGTTTGGGGGGGGTGCAAGGGAGTGGGGTGGTGCTTTACTTTGTAGAAGGCAGCTATAGCTACCACTGCCTCCTAGGACACATTTTATTTTTTGAAAAACATTGACTTGGCTGCTGGTTAACTGTACTTATATTTCCCATTAGTGTCTTTTATTCCATATGTCCAAAACCAAGTTGGAATCACTACATATTAAAACAGGAAAGAGGGTCTTCAGTTCAATCTCTTATTTTACAAATGGGGAAAGCATTCTGTTCGGAGGAGGTGTCTCCTGTTTCTCATATTCATTGATAGCTCTGTGAGCAGGCATTTGTCTCTTGGGCCACTTGGTTGTAGAACTTTGCGCGAGGATTCTTTTGTCTTTGAGTGGATCTGCTGAGCTCATCTTGGCTGCAAACAGCCCTGCTGTTTAGAACAAAGATGATCTTTTAACAGCTGAATCCTTTCTTTAAATGAATCAAATTTTTAATTGAAGAAATATAGTATATTAAAAAGATGAAAAAGAGACCTCCTGGTTAATTACAGAGTTTTAGTGGGTAAAGAAGGGTAGGTAGTTGGTATGGTCAAGAAAGGTGAAGTATGCATTCTACCCCGATTTTTTGACACTAAATCCATGCAGTCGAGATGTGAGACCTATGAAATAACGAATAGGTCAGAGAGCAGCCGGATCTCCTTGATTGGAAGCCCATGGTGGTGCCCACCAGTGATAGTTGTTCTGAATGACAAGACCCTAAATGTATCCCTTAGTGACTTTTCCATATGCCCTTGAGTAATGACTTAGCTCTTCCCTGAACTTCGGGAACTAAGAACTAGGTTATTATTACAACTAGTACTTTAATAAACTCTCAGCTATCATTTAAAAACTCCCATCCATCACATTTGTATTTATTTACACTGACAAGCAGCTTTTGTGCCAATTAAGTTGCCTCGAAATAGATAATTTTATTAGTATAGACATAGACAAAAGAATTACTGTCACATAAGGAAAAGCTTAGCACACTATTTAGTGTATTGATCTTGCATAAAACTCTTTGGATTTTTAAATATTTGATGCATTGTTAATAATCATTTGGCAGTCTTATTTATTTTAAACTTATTTAAAATTTTGAATTTTAGTCAATAACTGATTAAGCACTATGTTTGACACTGTGGGGGGGGAGAGGGAAATGAGGACAAGGCCCTTGTCCTCATGTTTGCACCCAGCTGAGTCCAGCGTGAAGAGCGGGCCGTTTTTGATTGTTTTCTTTTCTGCACTCCATTTCACCAATTGAGCTTTCATGTTGTGCAATTTTTAATTTTAATTTACTGACTTGCAAAGCATGTTCCTGACTGAAAATTAAGTAATTTCAGTTTGTGTGCTTTTCTTTCAAATTATTATTAGGTTGCAAGACTGGAGAAAGATAAAGAAGAACTATATAACCAGCTATTCAGTACGGATCCCACAAAAGAGAGCAGACGAGTGGAGCAACTTACTCGAGAAAAAGTCCATTTATGTCAGAAATTAAAAGGTTTAGAGACTGAAGTAGCTGAATTAAGGGCTGAAAAAGAGAATTCTGGTGCTCAGGTAGAAAGTGTCCAAAGAATACAGGTGCGGCAGATGGCTGACATGCAGGCTACAGTTAGATCCCTAGAGGTAAAATTTTAATTGCTTCCCAGTAGAATATAGTATCCTTTTTTAAAGTGCAATTGACAAGGCTTTGATTTTTAGAGCATAAATGTGTGCTCACAAATCTAATGCTGACGCATTTGTTGGAATCCCAAGAGTCTATGTTCCAAGGAAGAAAGCTATTGATTCATAAGCAATAGCTATGCTACCCATTTACAATGGATTATTTATTCTTTGGGAATCAGATCACCTGTCTGACATTATTTGACACTTAGAAAGTCACAGAATAAACAAAATGAAAAAAAAATTTTCCTATGCATTTCTGAAGAGGGAAGTCATCTCAAACCAGACAATTTCGTCCTAGATAGTAAGTTCCTGACACTGGGATTTGAGATCTTATCATTGTAACTCTTGTTTGAACAGAAATGCCATACCTCTGTGTCTCATGACAGCTACTTGCCAGAGTAATAAAATTCAGCTTGGTTGCTAATGCATATAAGCCTTTATGGAATTATTTCCCCGAGTTCACTGGAGAAAGATAAGAGTTGACAGAGCTTGACTCATCCTCCTAGGGATATTTTTTCCCTTATCCAACATCTTGGTTTTCATTTTCATCAGCTATGCTTATATATCCTAGTTCTTGGTGTGTAACGTATAGCAAATATACCAGTTTAGTTTTGATTTATTAACACCAGTCCAAAATGTTTTTCAATTCTGACCAAATAGTTATGAAATGATTCAGGTTGGAAGAACTTTAGTGGGTACCTCATTAAAATTCAGTATGTAATTCTATAATGTTACTACAGTTAGCAGTATCTATAATGTTACTACAGTTAGCAGTATCTTTACCCTTAAAAGAATGGTTACAGTTAAATGTAGTATGGTCCCAATGTGAAACGTTTTATTGAGGCTATTTAAAGTGATTACTTTCAGAGTAAGAAGAATGATGACAAATGATGGAATGCTAATTTGTGACATTTAAAAAGAACCTATATTTAATTCTATCATTTATCAGATTAAATGACAATAAGCACAGGACAAGTATTTCTTTTCTCCTTGACTTTGTTGGCTAGCATTGTGCCCAAAGAGTGTCATTTGATAAATTTGTTTTTCCCTCTGAGCTTATTTGTTCATGTCAGTTAACATATTAAAGGAAAGGAACTGTTAAAAAACTAAAGCATATCCTTTAAATGCCAAGTATTTTTTCATTTAACTATTTTGTGTATAGATATTTTATAGAGCATTTAAAGTGTCTTGACAACTTCATTAAGAGTCTTACTTAAATGATGAGGCCAAGAGCTCTTTGCCCATATTTCAAAACGTTCTAGATTTTTAGCTAAGGTTTTTGAATTCATATATATCTGTTGCATGTTTTTAAAACATTCTTTTAGACTTTCAGTTTTTACTTTTTTACTACTATCAGGGAACCTTCTCTTCCACCTTGTAATATACTTTTTAATATCTGCTGTAGGCTTGAAACCCCCAAAAAATGTTTGCTTGAATTATGACAACATTAAGAGTAAATAGGTGTCAAGCAAGGGTATTAGATACTTCCATGCAGAAATTGCGTGGCCAGTATTTTGCTAGTGGCTGTTGGTAGGCTGTTTGTCCAGGCATTTCTGTTGCATATCTCCTGGTTCTCCCAAATCTTCTGGCCAGGTAGACTACGAGGCAGATATTCTCTATGATAAAGAAAATATTATTATTGTGGTTTAATAATGAAACCTTATTTTTAAAACCAGATTATTTTTTCTTTACTTTGATGGTACAAATATCTTTTACTTGAATTTGACCAAAGTACTTTTGGAATATTCTTATTACTTTGGTACGTCTTAATATTGTTGAAGTTTTAAATAATTCTTGGCAGTCTGATTATATATGCATTTTTAAATAGTGTTTACTTGATTCTATATAATTAAAAAATTTTGAACTAATCTAAAATTGTTTATTTTTTAATAAAAGGCTGAAAAACAGTCAGCTAAACTGCAGTGTGAACGTTTGGAAAAGGAACTACAATCAAGCAGTGAACAAAATTCTCTTTTCCTCAGTAAATTGCATAAAGCTGAACGAGAAGTAACTGTATTGACCAGTCAAGTAAGTCATCTCATACTTCTGTTCCATTCTGCGGAAAGCTTGATACTGTAGAATAACAAAGGAAATTCGTGGTCTTTGTGTTAGATTTCTTTTTTATCTTAGCAACTGCCTTCCTACTACATGCAGAATTCTACAAATTTTTACTACCTCCACTGTGATTACTTCAGTCTATTCCATGACGTGTCTACACTGTTATTACAGTAACTTCCTAATTGGCCTTTTTCTCTAGAGAGGCTATAAAGTAATGAAAGTGATCCTTTTAAATTCATTGTTATTCTGCTCTTCAAACCTTTCTAAAGAGTTCTCGGCTTAACTCAAAGTGAAGACGAAAGTTCATAACCTTCAGGACTGTGTGTGACTCAGCCCCTACAACCTTTTAAGGCCAACATTGTTCAGTTCTCTCCTTTCACTTTGCTCCCTCCTCACCAGCCTGCACACTTGTCTTTGAACAATCTTATTTTTACCTCAGGACCTTTCTTCCCTCAGGTACCAGCATAGCATACTTCCTCACCACCTTTAACTCACTGCCATTTGAGTTGGTGCCAACTCACAGCGACCCTATAGGATCGAGTAAAACTGCCCCTATGAGTTTCTGAGACTGTGTTAATGAGAGTAGAGCATCCGGTGGTTTCAAACTGCTGACCTTGCTGATCCCAACCCAGTGCATAACCACTGCACCACCTTCAAATGTTAGATCAGAGAGTTTCCTTTTCTTTATTTTATGAAACTGTGTCTTCTCCTTCTTCCGCACACTTTCAACCTTAACCTGCTGTACGTTTCTTCAAAGCTATTGACACAGTCTGGTAGATGGTTACTTTTTGTTTTTCCCTTTCTTGTCTTCACTCCCCAACCAAATGGAAGTACCAAGAAAGCAGGGATTTTTAACCATTAAAATATTTTAATTTTGAGTATGAGTATAGTTGTTTAGTTTATAAGTGAAAATTAATATATGTTAAACTATTTAAAACTTATTTAAGGTAAAGTCATGAAGTATAATGGAAAAGTTTATGAGCTTTGAATCCAATGGGGATTGTGTATGAATCCTGCCATGCATCTCCCTCACCTACCTCTTACAGGTTTTTGTGAAGATTAAAGATAGTATTTGTGTTAGGTCGGGTTCACTAGAGAAACATAGCCAGGAACATTCATATATGTGTAAGAGAGAGCTTTATATAAAAGAGCAATTGTTTGTTGAGCTAACATCCCAGCCCAGATCAAGTCCATAAGTCCAATATTAGCCCATAGGTCCCATACTAGTCCATACATTTCTCTTTAGACTCACTCAGCACATGCAAGGAAGATCACAGGCCAGTGTGTGAAAAGTCTTATGCATCCAATGGCAGTGGAAGCATCGCATCTCCAGGGCTCTGGCTGCCATCAGCTTGGCTCCATGTGGTTTGTCAACAAGAAATGCCAAGCTGAAAGGGAGGAAGAAAGAAGTTTCCAGAATCCTCATGAGAAGGCCCTCCCACAAAGAGGCATCAGGCTGTGACCTGATTGACAGGCTAGACTGGACCCCTTCACTCATATATCCTCAAGTTGACACGAGATTATGTAACTACCACAGTATTGAACACAAATAACAGTTGGTGATGGAAACGATAATATACAAGTGGTAGCTTTAAATGAGAAGACAATGTAACAAGCAATACAGCACGTTGAGTCCATTAACTAGTTCTGGCCCTCCTGTATTAATTATTGTACATGTAATCTTAAGCAGTACTGAATCACTTTGGGGTTCAATTTCCTCATATGTGATAGGAAGAGTGTGCTATGAGATACTGTTCTAACATTCCAAAGAACCCTTGCTAAGTGTGATGTGTCAGAAGGCCATGTCACCAGGCTTTTCTTCCCCCTAGAAAACCTAGCAAGTTTCTCCTGAGTGCTTTGCCAGCAAGCCATAAACATTCAAGACAGTACGGAAAGACAGTAAGTGGAGCAAAGATTTAAAACGCAAAGTATACTTCAGTCACAAAGCGGTTGCCTCAGAATTTGAGGAAGCCAACCAGTCTAGGAGTATGACATTGGATTTTATGTGTGAGGTGGCAGGACCCCATTGGCTCACCTCAACCCCTATCCTGCTTTCCCATTAGCCCTTATTCTTGCTCCCTGATTGGTTCTTATTCCAGCATAATGGTTGGTTTTGTAATCCATGGCTTTTACACCTCAGTATCATGTGGGGCGGTGTGATAGATTATCTGGACATGACCTGTGAACCGGTTCATAAGTCATTAAGATCTCATAGGTTATTCAGGTGTCTGACAGACCCTGACACTAAGATTCTGTAAATTCTATTTGATGAAGTTCTTATTTGAGTGTTTCTTTATTAACTGGAAGATTATTCTTTTAACAGATATATAACAGAGTATACATAGAAATAAATACAAAACAAAAATTCAGGATGCGAAAGTTTCCTCGTGCTCTTCAATTCCAAAATGAATTGCCGTATATATTCAAGTATAAGTCGACCTGAATATGTATCAGTCGAGGCACCTAATTTTACCACAAAAACTGCATTAAAAATGTGCTGGAAAACTCGGCTTATACACAAGTATATACAGTATTTCCACTTTTGTAACAATAAAATACTGTGTCCCAGTACTTGTAAAAGAACTCTATTCTGGGCCTGAGTAGCCATACCGGACTGCTTGGAATAACCAAACTGTTGCTGGGTCAGCAGAACATTGGATTTGCTGGGCTTTTGCATGTGACTTCTGACTTTTCTTGGTGGTTACCAAGTACTTTATTCAGCACATTTTACCTGAGCTCTGCAGCCCACCCATGTTCTGACCCTGATTTCTCATTTTTTTTCTGTACATGTTTTTTCCTCAATTGTTACTTGTTTTTAGAGTTGGAGCATAGATGATTTCTACTGTCTGCTGAAAGAAGAGCAATTTAGTGTAGTTATTATTTATTTCACTCTGTTTATTTATTAACACACATTGCTGAGAGTTGCCTGTCTTTTTAAGGCACACTTGCATTGCTTTGCATATAAATAGAGTATTTAAAGAACATCCTTCAACTTTAGACAAGTCAAATTTTCATTTGAAATCTTGCTTGTAAAAAAATTCTTTGAAAGGATAAATTTAAAAATAATATTTCAAAAATGACTGTCACAGTTTTCTTTGCAACTTGAATTTTTTTGTCAACATTTTGCAGTTCTAGCAAATGGTTGTTTGCAATGCAAAAGAACACCTGGGGTGTATTTGTCTGAGTTATGCAAATTTGCAAATGTTTGTTAGACTTTAGAACAAAAACTGTGTGAATATCTGTGTCTTGGGTTAAAAAGCTTTACCAAAAATGGCCTGAAAGTGATGGCCTTAAAAGATATTTTACTTCCTGTGAGGTAAAATTCTTCTAATTACCTCATAAGGTTTTTGCTTTTGAGGATCCAATAAATGATAGTTTTAAAGTGACATCCCACAAACGATAAAGTTTTTTGCGATTGTGAATCTATATGGGAGTAGACAGCCACCTCTTGCTCCTGAAGAGTGACTGGTGGGCTTGAACCAACAATCTTGCAGGGCAGCATTTAGCTAGGGCGCCATTAAATTAATGAGGTCATACCATCTCTGACCTTTGGAAACATCCTGAATTTAAGTACCATTTCACCAGAATTGTACATCCAGAATTTCATTGGATAATATTTTATTTCAGTTATGTGTCTGTTGTTTGCTTATATATAGATTGTTTTCTTGTGGATATGTAGTCTAACAGATTCTGAACTTCATAAAGTATCATTTGTTTTTTGTAAAATAGTTTCCTTGACGTATAATTCATATATCACACAACTCAATAGCTCAAGCATTTTAAGAAGAGTTGTACAATCATCGCCACAGTCAATTTTAGAACATTTTCATTGTTATTAGTTCCTCATTCCCCTCAACCTCCCTTTCTTAATAAAGTTTTGTTAAAAGTACTAAGTTGCAGTCTCTGGATAATCACTGCTGTTGTTTCAAAACATAACGTAAATGTAAAGACCAAATCTTAATGAAAAATATTTGTTAAAAGTAAGGTGAGTGCTCGCTTCGGCAGCACATATACTAAAATTGGAACAATACAGAGAAGATTAGCATGGCCCCTGCGCAAGGATGACACGCAAATTCGTGAAGCGTTCCATATTTAAAAAAAAAAAAAAGTAAGGTGATTTGGTCCTGAAGACCAGAAATCTCTTCAAAGTATAAGCTAATTTTTAGATTACATATTTAATTTAGGAAAAATTCTTTAGGATTCCTATGATTTTCCAGAGGCCCGATCCCAAGGAAGATTAAGAACTAGGGATCTAGAAACGGAAGGATCTGTTATGATGACTGAGATTTAGTTCAGATTTATGAGTAATACATTTTCATGTTTAATAAAATAATCTGGTGTATGTTTTAGAAGTTAATGAATTCACTCCTAGTGTAAGTGTGTTCATCTCTCAGGGTTGTAGAAATGGGGAACTAAAGAAGAAGTTACATGACTAATTTAAGTGCAGAGACAAGTACCTTGCAGTTATCATTTGATTAGTAGGAAAAGTGGGCCTCAAAGTCCAACCACACTTGTTTCTTGAGTTCCTGTCCAGTGTTCTTTCAATTTTAATAATTATAGGTTGGCTGAAAAATATTTTCTCGTTTCAGCAGATCTCGGAGTGAAATGAATAATAAATAGGTTTTTATTCTATAGCTTTTCTTGAAGTTATCAGGAAATGATAACTTTCTATAAAATAAGATGGCTCTTATTTTCCACCTCATATTTAAAGCAACGTACAGTTTGGTTTATAAATGAACTGTCAGGTCATCCTTAACCTTTTCCAATTAGTATATAATAGAAGGTTGTAATTATGTTTGTCATAGTGATTGAATGTTCATTGTAGTTGCAATTTTCAAAAATTTAAAGTTTTTTTTTTTTAGTTTAAATTCTGTCCATGAAATCGTAATGTAGCAAGAAACATTCTACAAAATGCTTAAGTGTTAAAATATGCCTTAGCTGCCTTCACGTAGTTAACCAGTGTTGCTTTCACAGACAAGGGCCTTAGAAAGGAGGTTCAGAAATGCAAAACAGTGCCAGCACAAGTTAGCCATTGTGTAGTGCCGGGTTTTTTTGGAGTTAGGTCTTTTGCTCTTAGCAGTGCAGCAGCATTCATTTGCTTTTTCTTTTAATTATGAATTAAGCCAGTCGTGTCAAATTTTCAGGATCTTTCACAGATGCACTCTCTCCGATTGAGTCGTTTCTCTTATCTGCATCCTCTTTGGATCTGGGGCTTTTTCTGATTTTTTTCTAACATCCGTTGTTACTGGGTGCTATACCCTTAAGTTTCCTATCCCCATGTCTTCACACTTGACATATTTGACTTGTGTGTATTTGTCATTTTCTATGCAGGTTTCATAGTTTTGCATGTTAGTGTAGTGAGTCAGATTGCGTATTTATATAACTTTATATTTACCCCTACTGTAGTATCATGTCTAATTTTCAAACCACTTACCAAAGGGAAGGGATATGGAAAACGTCAGAGAGTAACAGATTACTGGAGAATAAGACTTTCTTGTTAATGATCGTAAAAAATGCTTTTAAAACATGCCGAATGCATATTAGGTGGTTAATAGCATTTTAAAAAAAAATCATTTTAGTGGGGGCTCATACAACTCTTTTTTTAATCGTTTTATTAGGGGCTCATACAACTCATCACAATCCATACATACATCAGTTGTGTAAAGCACATTTGTACGTTCATTGCCCTCATCATTCTCAAAACATTTGCTCTCCACTTAAGCCCCTGGTATCAGGTCCTTATTTTCCCCCCCTCCCTCCCTGCTCGCTTAATAGGTATTTTTTGAATGAATGAGTGAATGCTATTTATGAAATAGACTTAATCAATTTTCAAAAGGGATGTCTCATGGAAAAACTGAACAATTTTATCTGATGGGTGAAAAATGGATAGTATTGACCCTGGTGGGGTAGTGGTTATATGTTGGGTGGCTAACCAGAAGATTAGCAGTTCAAAACCACCAGCTGCTCCCCAGGAGAAAGACAAGGCTTTCTACACCCATAAAGAATTATAGTCTTAGAAACCCACAGGCACAGTTCTACCCTGTCCTATAAGGGTCACTATGAGTCAACATTGACGCGATTGACACGATTTGGGCTTTTTGGTTTGAGTGGCTTAAAAGGAGTCCTGGACTGGTACAAAGTTAATATGTTCAGTTGCAGACCAAAATGTTTCAATTTTCTGAGGTTTCAATCTATCTGAAGATGCTTCATAAAAACATCCTGACCATTACTTAAAAATTATCCGTTGCATGGAAAGGGACCCATAATCACCATATATATAGTACCTTGATGCTCCCCGCACAGTGACATAACAGGTTTTGATCTCTTGGGTAGGGGGTTGAACTTGGGAGAATTGATCCAGGAAGCTTCCCCTTGGCACCAAGCCCCATGCTTAGCATGAACAGTAACTACAAATCACATGAACAGTATGGTATGGGGGTACTTAGGAGATGTAGAAGAGGGAAGTTTGTTTTTTTTAAAGAACAAGGTTTTAGCAATAATGTCTTAAGTTAGATAAATATATATTCTGACCCTCTGGCCCCTCCCCCGCAGTCCTTCCACACATTTACTTCTTCTCCATTCACATGTGTATCTATATACAGGTGGACTTTAAAAAGTTCATGAACCCACATGGAGGAAGCACACCAGCTAGTGTGATCACGAGGTATCGATGAGATCAGGGATCAGACATTGGAAGAGCCAAAGCAAACGATTGTATCGATGCAGATGAGGAGGGTTGGAGTGGAGACCCAGGGCCCATTTGTAAACAGTTGGACATCCCTTCAGAGAAGGGATGGAACACAAGGACGGAACAAATCAGCCAGGGTGCAGTATAGAACAGATGAAACATAACGATATTCTTCTTGTTCTTTAATGCTTCCTCCCCACCCCCCAACTACCATGACCCAGTACTACTGGGTCCGGCTAGACCAGAACATGTACATAGGTATAGATAAGAGCCCTTGACACATGGAATCCAGGACAGATTATAACCCCCATCCCCACCCCACACTTCCAGGTATAGTAATGGGAGTAGTGATACCGTGAAGGTAGGGGGAAGCTGGCGGGAGAAGGGGGAGAGAGGGGAAACTGATTGGAATGATCAACATATACCCCCCCTGGAGGGGGTAAAAAATAACAATTTATAATTTATCAGGAGGTCATGAGGGTGGGTAGGGAGGGGGAAAAGGGTTGATACCAAGGGCTCAAGTAGAAAGAAAATGCTTTGAAAATGATGATGGCAACATGTGCCCAAATGTGATTGATACAAGTGATGTACGGATTGTTATAAGAGCCCCCAATAAAATAAAAAGAAAAAAGTTTATTAAAAATGGAATTAAAAATTTCTGTGAACTTTTTGAAGCTACTTGTATATTCTGAAAGAGTCCTGGTGGTGTAATGGGTTACGTGTGGGGCTGCTAACCACTCCAAGGGAGAAAGGTGAGGCTTACTACTGCTGTAGAGTCATAATCTTGGACACCCACAGGGACCGCTTTATTCTCCTATAGGGTTACTGTGAGTCAGAATTGACTCAGTGGCAGAGAATGTGTGCATCATTAAGTTCTGAAACAAAGTTAGCTGCTACTTCTTTCTTGCCCCTGTTACCGTCTTTGCCTCTAAATTCAGGCACTCTGCGCAGGAGAAAGATGAAGCAATCTCCTGCTGTGCAGACGTAAAATCTCAGAAACCCTATGTGGAGCCGATGCGAATCAGAATTGTCTTCATGGCAGTGGACTTGGTTTTTGGTTTTATCTCTTAGTTTACTTACCTTCCAGTGTTTAATTTAGCACGTTTGCAATTAGTGTTAATTTTCTGAGATTAAGTTGATTGTGCCACCTTCAAATTGTTAGAGGCCTAGTCTTCCACTCAGAGTGAGCTCGTGTGACGTAGCAGGGTAAGTTCCTTTGCGTGGTATTCCTTTTCTCATAGACACCCACCACTGTGTCCAGAGCAGACCCTGTGATGCTGTTTCTCCTTTTCCCATCCTGTCATTTACTAAGTGACTGAAATCACAGGAAAAGACTGGTTTCCTACGTGTCATCTGGTGCAACGTATTGTTGCAGGCAGTGAAGCACCTTCTTCCCTGGGAGATAGTTACACTCTGTTCTGTCATCCCAAATAGGCTTTTTGGGTAAGCACTTAATGGCACTAAAATGACAAATAGTAACTTCATTTTTTAATTATTAACAGGTCAAAGAACTTAAACATTCAAACAAACTTGAAATAACAGACATCAAACTGGAGGCAGCAAGAGCTAAGAGTGAGCTAGAAAGAGAAAAGAATAAGATTCAAAGTGAACTGGATGGTAATATGATTTCCATGCTTTATACTGTTAATTTTGGATATAAACTGAAAGTAAAATTAGTAAGATAGATCAACCTCAATTTTTATTTCCAGGTTTTTTTTAACTTCAATTTTCTCATCTTAGAGCACATGTAGAATATATTTTGTTTATATCCTAAATGTTTTGATAATTCATAGATACAAGTTTTTTTCTTTCTTTAAAGCAGTTATGTTTATGGCATAGTCATATGGTTAATACATAAATTAATTGAAACTTTTAAAATGGAATTTCATACTTCTGGCTTTAGTTTTAAATCTATTCAGATCATGTAGTTATTAGTGCTAGTCTATGATAAGATTAAAATAAGGAGAACAGGTGGATTCTAGAGCTAAAGAAAATACAAAAATTATCGATGTATAGCCAAGGCTAGTTACTGGAGCCTAGTTCAGTTTACGCTTATTTTTTTTAAAGTTTTAGTTTAGTCTTAGCATGTTTCATCAATATTCCTCCAACTTTCGGTCTACTTCAGTAATAAGCTGCTCATGGCTTGTGACTCTGTCCTATCAGTCCGAAATTATGATGAATGATTATTCTTATTAACAGTTTCTTCTTGATGTAACTCATGAGTTTGCTCGTGGGATCCAGTCCTGCATTGTAGTTTAATTTTTGAATTCAATGTCTATTTGTTGTATTCTACCTGCAGAATTCATGCCAAGATTGTGAAATCATTGCAAAAACCTGAAATCTCTGTATTACTTTTATTTTGTTCTATCGGAATCCTAGGTTTATGGTTCTGCGGTTTTATTAACTCTGGCATACCACTTCCTTATGATGCCGTCTATTGTCTGTGTCCCAGAACTTGAGTTGATCTATCCGGCTCTGAAGGTTCAAATGAGTAAATGCCTTTTATTAAAGGTCTTTTTAAGTGCTAAGTAAGCAGTGACAGAAAAATTAACTGTGTTTTATGTTTGGTTCTTGTCAGTCATGTAAAGGTCTTTGAGAAAATGTATCCAACGTGACTTACTTTCTACATTTTTTGTCTTATAAATGCTTACCATAAATTGGGTATTTTTCTGAGCTAGATAATAATTTTAAAGTAATATATTTTTATCTTAAAAAAAATTAGGATTGCAGTCAGACAACGAAGTTCTCAAGTCAGCTGTTGAGTACCACAAAGTGCTCTTAGTGGAAAAAGATCGTGAATTAATCCGTAAAGTACAAGCTGCCAAGGAAGAAGGTTATCAAAAACTAGTGGCATTACAAGATGAAAAGTAAGTACTTAATGACCTAATTTTAAGTTGTCTCCTTGCCAAGGAAAACGTTTTGCTGTCAAACAATTCTGTTTGTAGTTCTTGTAACATAATTACCATCTATTGTTTTAGGCTAGAACTTGAGAACAGATTAGCAGATCTGGAGAAAATGAAGGTGGAGCATGAAGTCTGGAGGCAATCTGAAAAGGATCAGTGTGAAGAGAAATTACGGGCCTCACAGATGGCAGAAGAGTCAGCGAGAAAGGAACTTCAGAGTATTAGGTTATATATGTGCATATATGTATATATCTATGTATGTTTATAAATTTTAAACTTTTGATTTTGAAATAATAACCAGTTACCAA